GATGAGGATGAGGGTGAGGATGAGTGGATGAACAGACAGGAAGTGAAAGGAGCTCTGACGTCCTGTTTCCGTCTCAAGTTGTTTCACCTGAACCAGACTTAATGTTTTTAGCAGCCTGATTGAACGCAGTAGATTTATTGAGTCTGAAGATCCAGATCCAGATCCAGACAGAAACCAGAACTCTCCCAACATGCTGGTTCCAGACGTCAGTGGAGTCAACAAACGTCTCTGAGACTCAAACAGAGTGAACGTGAAGAAGAACCTGCCGAGTCCTCTGGGGTTGAATTATAAAGACCGTCCTCTCCTCAGACACCTGGAAGAGAAACGTGTGAACGAGTGAAACAGGGCAGTCTGACACCAGGCTTTTATTGTGACGGGACAACTTCCTCTGAGCCACATTAAGCTGAAAACCCACAGAAACCCAGTCGAGGCCTCGTTAAAGTCCGGAGACGTAAATAAAGACAAACTAAATAAATGTAAACAACCTCAGCTACCTGTTAAATATCAGTTTCTCCGCCCGGTTTCTCGATTTGAGCGACTGTAAATAAAACGGGGCGTTTGGAGAGTTTGTGATCACTTCCTGTCCTCCTGCAGTCGGCGCCACAGGAACGCCGCGACGTCACATTGTGCAACAATCTGACTCTACTGAGCATGCTCCGGGTTCAAACACACATGCAGACAATGTGGCCAGAGTCACTCTGTAACTGAACACACATCGGTCCGACACGCTGAGGCAAACAAGGCTCTTACATTAATTAATAAATTAACAGAGAATCTGTTGTAGACGTCGTTTATAACGTTTATAAAGATATTTATGATATTTTCAATCTGGTGATACTGCAGCCACTGTGTGTTCTCACTCTCAGTGCAGCAGAGTCCGGCTCTCCTCGACCTCAGAGTCCGTTTCAGGGACCTCGCTGGTCTGCAGAGACAAAAAAAGGGGAGCCGGGGTCAAAGGTCAGATCCTCCTGTTAAATGTCAACTATCAGTAATGTTAATAAAGTTTATTGTTTTATAATAAGTGACTGAAGGAAGATTATAATGACAATAATCATTATTATTATTAGTGGTACATATACAAGGGTTGAGGGTATTTTAATGATTAATAATTAATAACAGGATTGTATGTTCTCTTTATGCTGCTCATAATCTAAATATAAATACATAAATGTACAATAAATTGATCAATAAGTCATAAAAATAAACAATAATATTTTAGGATAAATGAAATCAAATCAACTTGAATGATTTAATTAGTAATTAATTTAATTTCAAACTGTGACCTTTAATAACTGTTATAACTAATCAATAATCAATAATTAAACCAACTTCTAAAGAGTAAATCAAACACTGATGAAACAGAAACACAGTTGTGATTATCGATCCCTGATCAGTAAGCAGTAATCGATCAGTACCTGCTGGTACCGGGTACCGGGGCTCTGGCCGCTCTGTGGCCGCTGTAGGAGCTGCTGTGGCCGGTCACGGTGGAGCGGCTCCCCGCTGTCCGCGTCCAGCTCGGTCTGCAGGTCCAGGATGTAGTCGATGACGCGCTGCAGGATCTCTACCCTGCTGGCGGACCGGACCGGACCCGGGACCAGCTCCCGCAGCAGCCGGTAACACAGGTTCATGTCCTGCAGCAGGAGCACCGGGACCCGCGGGTCCTCCGCCGCCGCCGGGCTCTTGTTCCGGGGGAAGCCCCGCGGAGAGCAGCGGAGGCTCCGGCGGCTGCTCCTCCTCCTCCTGCCCGCAGACAGCAGCGGGCTGCCGGCTCTCATATCTCCTGCTGGCCGCTGAGCTGCTGGAGCTTCACATCAGAGAACCGGATCGATACCGGGACTGGAGCCGGACCAGACTCACTGAGCCTCTTATAGAGCCTCAGCTGGACTCCCATTGGCTCTCTGCGGAGTCCGTCATCCTCTGAACAGCCAATCAGAGTCCAGCAGCTCACCTGGTACCTGGAACCTTATTATAGATTTAAAACCTATAAATTAATATTGATCAACAATAAATAAATAAAATATCAGAATAACACAGTGTGAGGGTGGACACAATAATGTGAACACCTACCACCAAAAACACCAACGTTTAATTAATTAAAGATTAGATATATTCGATATAATCAATAATCAATAACTTATAAAACACAAATTAAAGATTCAGAACTGTTTTTATGCTAAGCTCACAGCGCAGCGTGCAGCTCTGGTTCACCTGTTAAATTTTATTTAATTTAATTTAATATTGATTTAACGAACCGACAACAATAAAAATGTTTGTTGATGAATTAATGTGAATAAAGACGTCCTCGTTGATAATATTGATCACTGATTGCTGTTTGAGGCTTTAATCCTGTTTTTATTTCATAATAACAATATTAATAATACTGATTTTATTGTGACATTACTGTAATATAATAATAATAACAGGAAGTGGACCTGTTTCCACGGCAACGAAGCTCGATTTCCTGCTGTTTGATTTACACACTGTAACTTTATTTTGAAAGGCAAAGTTTATGTCAGAGTGACGTCTGATTGGACGGTGAGAGGCACACACACAATGTGCTTAATGTTGTTGTTGTTGTTGTTGTTGTTGTTCAGAATAATCGGAGTCAGGAGGTCTTTATCTCAAAATGAAAATCAGTAAATTAAATTTAGTTCTTGAGACGAGAGAAGGATGAAGGAGGATGACCTCTGACCTCTGTGGTAAACAAACTTTATTATATTTACGTTATTAACATGTTTTATTTTTAGCATTAAAGCTAATGAAACACTTCCTTCAGCCCTTCACAGTAAAAGTCCCCAGGAGTCTTAAAGGTCTGTCTGTCAGCTCGTTTACTCTCAGAGCAACGTTCAGACAGACAGACAGACAGACAGACAGACAGAGAGACAGACAGACAGAGAGACAGACAGGCAGGAGGATTCCTTTCATAATGCTGTCAGACACTCGACAATAATGAGACCTGATCTGTCAGTGGAAACAAACTACTGCACTGAGTTAGTGGAACAAACAACAACTACTGTTAGTGGAACAAACTAACTGTTAGGTGAACCAAACACAACTCTGTTAGTGGAAACAAACAACAACTATTGTTAGTGATACAAACAACAACACACTCTGAAATAGTGGAACAAACAACAATACTGGTTTAGTGGAAACAACAACTATGTTAGTGGAACAAAGAACAACATTATGTAAGTGAAACAAACAAAACAATATGTTAGTGAACAAACAACAACTACTGTTAGTGGAACAACACAACTACTGTTTAGTGGAACAAACAACAACAACTACTGTTAGTGAACAAACAACAACTATACTGTTAGATGGAACAAACAAAAACTATCTGTTGTGAACAAACAAAAAAGTATGTTTAGTGGAACAAAAACAACTAACTGTTAAGTGGAACAAACAACAATAACTGTTAGTGGAAACAAACAACCTAGTACTGTTGATGGAACAAACAACAATACTGTTGAGTTCGAAACAAACAACTTACTGTTTAG